AACAAGTATGTATGACTATCACATATTCCTTTAAACGGCGATCTTACACAGTATTGAACATTGCTTTTTTGTAACAGTGTATTCATTATAACGTGACCTGAAATTTCTTCTTCTTCCAGCTCTGTTCAGGGAATTTGGCGGCGCTCGTTGCGTTCACAACATCGTGAAGTACCGCCAGTGTCGGGAACACGCCCTACTCATCATTCAGCAGCTCGTCCTGTCGCCCAGTGGAGATGACGACATGGGAACACTGTTAGGCCTCATGCACTCTGCACCGTCCAGTGAACTACAGCTGAAGACTGACATACTGCGGGTATCAACAAACACACAAACTGTCTTACACACTCAGTTATTCAAACTACTACTGTCAGGTTTTTAATCAATTTAAAATATTTTTACTGAAAACTCAATATGTATCATAGGCTCTGTCTCGCAGTATTATCTTACTTTATATTTTGTCAGTAAAATCAGCTTTTGTAAAGAATTCTTCAACTCAAATATGAAAAGGGGAAAGATTACTATCTTAATATACTGTGGTGTAGCTGGGAGGAGTTCAGAAAGATGTAAGCACTAACAAAGCCTCCAGTTTCAGTGAGAACATTGGAAAAAGCAAAGTCTGTAATTTAAAAAATCAATATGCATTTGAAACCCTGCATACAGTAATTGCTTCAAACCATGGGGCTCTAAGTGTAAGGTGCACATAAAGGATTATATATACACACACATTCACACACACAGGATGAGAGGCTCATTTTCTGAAGCATAATTGCATTTTCAAATTCCACTCCTTCAGATGAGGTAATTCTCACGCCTTCTGAAAGCTTCCACTGGATTAACCCGTCAGCATTTTGCTCCTATTTCACTAATCAGGGATTTTAATTATCACCCTAAAAAAATACTCTAAAGACTGTAAAACACTTATCCAATCGATCGCAGTTTGAGTCAAATATTTTTTGTTCCCTACGCTCGTCATCCGGGTTTATGTACTGTTGACAGTAACACGCAAATAGATCAAAATTAAGCTGATTCAGTTGTGGAAAGTTCACCATTTAACTCTGTAATCTCCTTAGGGAGGGCTTGGTCAAAACCCTAATATGTTGCATCTAATCCCAAAGCCTCCTCAATGGCTGTTAAAGTTAACATCCCGAAACCTAAATCTCACATAGTCGTAGCCTGGTGGTAATTTCCATCTTGGAGGGAGAGGAAGAGGAGCTTCAACATCCTGTGATTAAGTTAAAAAAAAAACAACAACCCACCTGTGCTGAGTCTGCAGTATGTTTAAGTGCAGCCAGGAAACAGCTGGATTCAGCGGTGCAACGGTATCACTGTTGTTCCACTTCTCCTTTTAGTCCTCCACTGGGATCATTATATCTGAAACTATCCTAATGACTTTGCAACATATAGTGTAAGTGTAATGGTTACAGATTACAGGCGTTGTAATGGGAAAATGGTTAAAATCGTCTGTTGGGTATATGGATCTTAGTTTATCAGCTATAGCCTCGGATATAATTCATGTGGAAAAATTTGGGGTTTAGATCGAAACTGACGTGTCATTATTGATCTTAGATAGTTTTTTTCACAAAATAATGTTAACTCGGGTCTAGGTACCTAGTTTTTGTTACACCCCCCTAAGGACAGGTTTGTCGTTTTGGCTAGTGAATCGAAATACCTGAAGAATCTTCATTACGTTTTACTAGACTCTGTGGTTGCCAATAATCCCCTGAATCGTTGCAAAGAGATTTCATTAGAACTATCTTTTAGCTGAAGAATATCCTCCATGAGAATTGTTTGCAGCTTGTTCTACGGATCCATTTTACCTAACATTTTATTGTGCAGTGGCCTGATTTTTAGCAGAAATGTGTTGGCAAACCTTGCCGCATAAAACTGAAACGTATCTGCAATGCTTTGATACCACAGCCAGTAAGATAATGAGCAAACATGTTTTTTGTGATTTGAGGGAATGTAACACGAACCAAATTGCAGCAGAGTTTCAATGAGATGTTATTAGATAATAAAGAAGCATGCCAGTATCTTTAATAATCATATGTGGATATACACAAACT